AAAATCCTGGCTTCGTCCCTGTTTGACCCCGACGGCGACGTGAGTCATGACTGCTTCCTGCTTTCTTCCACCGCCGACCACCTTTCAGTTTCTCAACTCTCAAGCTGTCAAGCAATCAAGTTCCTGTATGTCTAATGTATGGCTGTATTTATCTTATATTCTTTATGCTTGCAAATCATTTTATTTCATGTATCAATGAGAACTGAGAAATGCAATTTGTTTTGGTCTTCTTCTATTTTACAAATTCTCTAATTCATTATATATATCATTTAATTTCTTCATAAAATTTGAAATTGGATTTTAAAATTTAGGGCTTTACTATTTTTCATCCACATTTTGATAATTTGATTCTTTTTGATAGTTAACTTTTCAATCTTATATTTTTTTCACACTACAGGTACTCAGGTAGTAAGGTATTTTGTTCTTAGTATAATATTTGTGCATTGTGTTATAATGCTGTTATTTTTTTGTACATTTTCTAATATCACCAGCACTGACAAAACTTTTTGGGTCCACCCCTGATCTTTGGAATTCTGTCATTTGATAAATTTTCTTGTGTGGCAGCTGTGATCCATCATTTCCATCAGTGGAGCGCATACCATATGCTCAAGCGTTACCATATGCTCAAGCGTTAGTTTTGGTTTCGCTGAGAGAATTGGCTCTGTTTGGTTTTCCAATTTAACCAAACCGACTTTTCGCGCCTCTCTCCCTCTCTCTGTCTCTCTACAAGCAGCCATGGTGTCGCAATATGGAATCAAACTTGCCACCTATTTGATTTCCTCTTCCTATGGCGACCTTTGCTCTGTAACACTCACTTTATGCAATTGTAACTAATCAATTAACCACTCTTTCTCTGTATAATTATTTACTTCTGTTTTTGTTTTGTTGCAGAAAGTATGTGAGTGTTTGCTCAGTAGAGGAACCCTAACTCTCGCCCAAATAATTCGATTCACAGAGCTCAGCAGAGAAAATGTCATAAACTGTTTACGCGTTTTAATACACCAAAATTGCGTCCAAGCCTTCTCCATTCAGCAAGAAGGTGTGTCATTGGCCTCAGAATTTGATTGGGTAGAACTTGTTAGTTCTGTTTGTTAATTTGAAATTTTTGTGATTTGATATTTAGTTGAATTTGGCGAGGCGCCGAAAATTGTGACGCAGTACATGGCGCTATTTGACAACATGATTCACAAAATGAGGTTCCCAAAGTTCATGCAAATTGTTTCTGAAGAGCTTGGGTTAGATGTGAGG